CCCGAGCTGAATTCTATTATATAATCTTGAATATGCTAATATTGAGCTGTTCTTGTTTTCGTTAATTGTCTTTCTATTGCGATAAGCCGCCTTTCACATTCAAATCTGTGCTGAGATAGACAGTACGTGAGTGCTTGAGTCATTGTTGCTTTCAGTCTGGTTGCATTAGCGTAATCTATTTTGGGAGTATTTGAACTTTGCACCCAGACTATGTGGACAGAGACGTTGATGTGTGATTAATACGCAAGTCGTTCGATTCGAGACCAATTTTGATAGCAATCATACAAATAAAATGAATAAAAGTGACTTGTGGTTAGGAAACATTCACAATTTGTGCTGTGTATAGTTGAGAGAACGTTGTGTTAGTAAAGTATTGGAATGTGCCAAGACATGTAGACATAAAAAATATACGAATATTTTATATACTTACGCCTGGGACAAACAAACATAAACAAAGATCGGCAAGTGCAAATTGTTGTAGTTAAACTTGTGCTGGGGTCGGTTTGGAAGCTAAAGTTAAAAGTACGCCGAAAATTTATCGTTTTTTTCAGTTACTGCAAAGTTATTTGTGTGTGTCTTTTTTTTTATTGTAGACCCTTAAAGCTAAACATTTATTACTTTCATAAACATAAACATATATCTGCGTCTGTATATAATATTCGAAGAAATTCTTTTGTACTACAAGTTAATGTTAAGTATTTAGCATTAAGCTAGCGTTATGGTTAAGGAAAGCGTTGGAGGAGAGTTTAGTTTTCTTTCTTTTTCTTTTTTTGATATATACATAAAAAAAAAAAAAACAGAGGAAATACAAGTTGGAGTAGGAGTGGATAGGGTAGGCGGTTAGTTAAAATATAAAACTTAAAGCTAAGCACGTATAAATAAGGACATTTGACTCTTGAGACATTTTACAACACTGGCTTTTTAGTAAGGATATTGAGATAGAAATAGGGTGTGTTTGTAAATGGGTTAAGTTAACATATATCGTATATAGAAATACATACATATATAATTATACATATATATAGTTAGCTACAAATCAACTTAAATCAATGCTAGCCTAGGCGTGGCCATACGCTTGTGCCACGAAATTGAAGATCCCTTATTGTTGAACCCGTACACGTTGAACTTTTACAACACTATTAGTATGGAGTACAACCCTGTTTTTGTCTTTCTGATGCTGCTTCAACTCCAACTACTTGGTTAGTACTAATAGAGTGAGATAGCAATAGATTGTGTGATGTGTGTGTGTTTGTGTGTTTGGGTTTGGGTTTGGGTTTATTGGCTGAACTAACCACCGTTGGGCGTTGCCAGTGTGGCACGTCGCATGTTGGCATCGATGCGCACATGTAAACTGGATAGCGTCGTATCAACAGGTAGCTCCAGCTCCTGGTTGCCTTGATACGCATCCGAGACGAGCGTTAACTGCAATTAGACATTAGAGAGAAAGAGAAAGAGAGAGAGAGAAGTGGTTAAAGCATTTATCTAGTTGTTGTTGTTTTTGGAATGTCTAGTTTCCTTTCTATAAACAAATTTGCCCTTCACTTTTCTTTCCATAACCTAGTTTTGCACAAAGATGCAACATCATCAACACAACAAACAACCAAACAACAGCAACTCCAGCAGCCGCAAATCGCGTCGTCGTGCTCTTGAGCACCTGTCTGAAAGGTAATCCAAGCTGCTATTTGCGTCTCACTTGGTTG